ACAACTATATCATATTTGCCCTCATTTACCTGAATTTCTAGTTCACCTTGTTTACTATTCATACTCTGCATTGGTGTATAGACATTTGAGTCCTTTATGACTGACACCTATGTGTTAGTCCATTTTGTGTGACACTCGCTATTAAAAGCTTGATTTTGCTTGATAGCAAAGTTGATATTCTTGTACACACAGATCTATGTTATTTGCACTGCTAACCCTGTAATTTTTGATTGCTGGGGACAGGGATGTTCTGTATCAATTAACTCACTGTCCCTTGTTTAGTTTAAATATTCCTCCAGAAAATCTGTGAGTTTATTGCCAAGTAACTCAGTCCCTTTTTTGATGGATGCAAACCATTTCTTTTGTACATTGTTCCATTGGAATACCATTTCATGGTATCCAAAATTGTCATTTCTGATTTTTTTGTGTCAGTGTCTGTTGTTGGGTTAATTTCCTTCTCAATTCTGTCTAAAAGGTGTTAATTTTTGTTCCGGGGGAATCCAGTGTTAAATTATTTTATTGTTGTGTACCTTTTGGTGTTTCTATTCTAACTAGTCTGCCACTGAGTCAGACTAGTTTGTCTTGGGTTCTTCCTCAATTTGCCAATGTATTTTCTCTTTGGGGTGAGGAGGGGGGTGTCCTGCCTGCTGGGTCCTACCCCAAGCTCTGGAAAATCATTCTGCAATGTGTTGTAAATGGGTTTTATGTTCTAAATGGGTTTTATCTGTCTATCCTTTTCCTGAAACATGACCAGCATTTTTAAGTTGCAAGTCCTTGTCTTTAACATGTTGCAAATGTTCAAGTTCAGAAGTGAAACTTTTCATGTATGTTCTTTTACCAGAATCCAGCTTTCTTTTGTTCTCATTTTGTCTGCCTATCTGTTTCTTTGACCACTGCAATATTAATGCCTTTTCAAACTCTGTCTGCAAGCTACCCCCCCCCCCCATGTACTTCTCTTTTTCTTATCCTTGGTTCTCCATGCCCTTGTCTGCCTCTCCTGGGAGAGTCCACCCAGAAAGGGGGGAGGAGTTCTTACTCATGTCTTTCAGCCCTGCATAGATGACCCTCCCCAACCCTTGGAAGCAGAGCATACTGATCCAGACGCTGCCTCCATCCATTTGAGCCATGGAATTAAGTTTTGAATCAAGCCATCTACTAAAAAGCCACCATGCAACCTGAGTGGAACATCCTCCCAAGTCCTACCATTCCCCCAGATGCCTGTGAGAGCTGCAGAAGGAAGGAGTCCTGGAGCCACTGGTCCCCATGTGAAGCCTCAGAAAAGAAAACTAGAAAGACTATGGGGGGAGGGTGGAAAGTCTCTTTCTTGCCCCATTTGTATTGTAACAAGCCAGTTGAATGTATTCATGGAGAGATGGTATTTGGGAATAGTTATCACAGCAAGTACTGAACACCTTGGACTTCTATCTGGTGGGAGGGAAAATTTATCCAGAATGTTTGTATTGCCTGTTTTGTAGAAATAGCTGCACATGCACACACACACACCATTCAGAATCACATTGAGTCTATCCCCTCCACCTACCTTTGGTAAAGTTCCCCAGGCTGATTTTTGCTCTATTGCACCAAAGCTTTGTAGAAACAACTTCCAACAAATTCCAAGGGAGAAGGAACCAGCCCCTCCTCAGGTGATTTGCAAATCATATGCCCTGACTAAGGAAGCGACAGGAAAGAGATCCCCAAACCTCAGCCCTGAATATCTTGCACTGGTGGACTTAGATTGGGATTCCTAGAGCTCATTATGTGCAATTTAAAGAAACATTTGATAGCTGGCTTGCATACTGGCTAACCTCAATTGGACATTACAAACCTGGATGCACTGAACTAAGAGCTAAGGCAGGAAACAACCCCTGAAAACAGGCAGCCATGTACTGAGAAAAACCATGGCTGTGAAGAATTTTGGGAGGTGCGCAAACCTGACTGGAAGCTAAAAGTGACATCCAACATTTGAAAATGATTGGCACAGAATATTGGACACTATAAATTTCTTTTCCACCTAACAACATTTTTTGCCCTGACTTTTAGAACTTTATGGGTTGCAAGCTCCCCTTTTGGGAGCCACTAAAGGGATCTTTTTCTGCTGCCTCCATTAATGTCTTATTTTTGGCTTAACAGTTTAAAGCTTGTCTACCAAGTCTTCCTGACCAGATCAATTTTAATCTTGTGCCAATAAGTGTGACATTCTTACACTTAAGGCACAAAGGGGGGGGGGGGTATTGTGGAAAGTCAGAGCCCCAGAGAAAGAAATATTAAAAGGGCAGAAAAATATATTTTTCTTCAAAAGGATTTTTAAAAGCAGGAGCCAACTATCCCAAACAGGAGCCAGCCCTATACAAATGCAAATGTAAAACCATCAGAAAGTTTGTCAAGACAAAGAGACTTAAAATCTGCATACCCCACCCAAACTCTAGGAGTCATTAGCCCCATCACCAGGGAAGCAGAATATGATAATAGGCTTAAACCACAGATATCAAGGCCTAGAAAAACACTCAGAAATAGCCTCAAAGTTCATGCCACAGGAACAGGAAACTATTCCAAACAAGACTAGAGAGGGTATAAAAACCTATTACCCATGTGCTCAGCCCCTTCTCTCCTCTGCTCTTTCCTGCAAGAACCATCTTTCTGCTTCTTCAATAAACTGTAACCTTTTTCCCAAAGCAGTCGCCATGTTGCTTATTTATCCCCGGCTTGGATGAACCAGGATGAAGACTTTAATCCAACACATGTATGTGTCAATTTCACAGATTTTGATCAGTTCCATGTGCAGACTGGATCTGTCCATCTGATGCAGTAATATCTACATTAACGATTTAGATTTCAATTTTTTGAGCCACTTTTAGAGACAATATTAGAGAAGGATGGGGAATATGATATAATCCTGAATTTAGTAAATCAATACCAAGAAAGAACGTGAAACTGAGATTTTGCTTTAAGTTCTGTACAGTTAGTAAAATAAACATATATAATATGAATACTATATTTACAAAGAATAATATTAGCCGAATTTAATTCTTGAAACTCTTTCTAATAGCAGATTTTCCTTTCCTCTCTCTCTACCTATTCCTATATATGTGTGTTTGTGTGAGAGAGACAGACAGATAGATGATATGTACAGTAACCATAAAAATATATCTTTATTTTCCATTACACAATATATTAGACTAGATAGATAGAAATTTGTTTCTCCAATAGTTACTGAATAGTTGAATACACCTCAAAAATGCTGAATTTCTCACATAGTAAGGATTATATTTTGCATTAAAGTTTAGAAAAAGAAACACTTCAATTCTCAGAAAAAATTCTAAACTTTAATGCAGTATTTTTTAAAGGAATTATGTAAATCTGTATCTGATTGAATAAGGAAGCTCTGAGGAATAAAGGTTCTGTTGAGACTTCAAAGTTATGTTTATAAATGTATTATGCTTTGATGCTGAACTATATCTATACTACAGGACATATTAACTACTATGTGACATATTAACTAGGATGAATAAACCTAAATTAAGGATCTTGCTGAACAAAGAAGAAGAAGAAGTGGACTAGAAGCACCTTGCAAGCTACAATCTTGTGATTTTCTCATTTCTGATGAACTTTCTCTATTTTCTTTCAGTGAATAATATTTTTTTAAATAAATTCTAGGGAAGGAAAAATCCCTGAATTGATCTCCTCTTCATATGGTTAATATACACATTTTTATTTCCTTAAATGACTTTATAGTATTCATGGGAATCTAACAAATTATATTTTAGATATTGCATATTTACTTTTCCTCCTGATTTATATTTTGTTTATTTGATTGGGAACAAGATATATCATCTTATTAGTTAATCTTAAATGTAATGCAAATGAATGAAAAGCAGGTAAGATTCATTTCAACATGTTTTCATTGTAATTTGGACATAGCAGAATATAATATTTGCCTGTTAGAACTTAATTGATTTTTATCCTTCTAATGATTTAAATTTAATTTAAATCTTTGTATTTTCTTCTTTCTTAATTATTTTTGTTTTTTACATAATTATTACTATTTTTTTAATTTAATGTTATAATTTTAACTTTTATTTTGCATAGTACTCAGCTTGTTTATTCAGACATGATATAGCTATAGATACATGAAAAAGATATACACATACAACATCATTCATATTTTTTTCCTGAAGTTCATTAAGTGTTCAAGTAAAAAAAAAATCCCTCCTTCTTTCCTTGCTTCCTTTCTTGCTTCCTTCCTTCTTTCCTGCCTGCCTTCTGTTTGTCAAATGATCTACCATAAAGAATTCAATGCAGCCACAAAATATGTAATATTTTCTATATTACTAATCCAAAAAGTCCAGAATTGTAATTATAGAAGTAGGATAGAGTGAGAAAAAGTGGCTATTCAAAAACCCGAATAAAAATGTAAATAATTGACCACAAGTATTTTACAGACAAGCCCAATTTATTTGTGTGTGTGTGTATGTGTATATATATGTTTCACACTGGATTTCCTATTAAAAAAACCCAATATAAATGACAGCAACCAAAGGAAATGCTGTATTTATTTTATAATTAGCATGTTTTCAATTAAAAATGAAAAATATCAATAGATTTGGCAGCTACAACTGTAGCAGACAGACTATACCAGGTTGGGATGGCAGTGTAGGATACATTTAAAAGTGTAACTGACTCCTTAATTATAGTTATTATTTCTGTTTGTATAATTTATATATTGATTATTGTTTCATTGTGTATAACATTGTGTATAACATTGCCTTTCAGGAATCCAGAAACTGCATTATTCAAGTTTTGAATATTTAGCAAACTCAGAGATGAAGAACTGCAAGAAACTTTTGCTTCATTTATTGACATTTCCATTCATCCTTTCACATATCCTGAATTTTCCCCACCATATATCCAGAAAGCTCTCTTCATAAAATGTTTTTTGTTTCATTTATCTTGTAAATTTATCATGTTTCTGTTATCCTTTGATCTTGCAGATTGGTGTATAAGGCATGGAAGTGAACAACCAAACCAGGGTCCAGATGTTTATCCTTCTGGGTTTTCCCAGCGTTCTAGAACTTCAGAGACTACTATTTGTAGTATTTCTTTGTATCTACATCCTCACTCTTGTGGAGAACACTATGATCATCATCCTCATCAGGACAAATAGTCACCTCCAAAAACCCATGTATCTCTTCCTCAGTCACTTATCTTTCCTTGAGACTTGGTATATTTCTGTGACTGTCCCAAAGCTCCTGATTAACTTCTTAGCAACAGATAAAAGCATTTCCTATGCAGGCTGCATAGCCCAGCTGTATTTTTTCATATCCCTAGTCTGCACTGAATGTGTCCTGCTGGCTGTTATGGCTTATGATCGTTATGTTGCCATCTGCCACCCACTACGCTATCCTGTTATAATGACATCCCAGCTTTGCTTGCAGCTAGCAGTGGGTTCTTGGCTCACTGGTTTCCTAATTTCTATGCTGAAAGTTTTTTTCATTTCACACTTGAGCTTTTGTGGGCCCAATGTCATCAACCACTTCTTCTGTGACATCTCCCCTTTGCTCAATCTCTCCTGCACTGACCGAACTGTGGCTGAAATGGTTGACTTTGTNAAGGAAAAAGAAAAGCTTTTTCTACTTGTACCTCCCACCTCACAGTGGTTACTATCTTCTACTCAGCTACACTCTTCATGTATGCAAGACCAAGGAGAATCAACTCTTTCAACATCAATAAGCTTGTGTCAGTTGTGTACACTATTGTTACGCCCATGCTGAATCCATGCATTTATTGTTTAAGGAATCAGGATGTCAAGGAAGCACTGAAAAAAACATTTTGCAGCTTCAGTCTTGAGAACATGATTAGTGATCGTTAGACTGGTGACTAATGGATTTATTTCAGCAAGCAAAAATAATAACTTTTCATTTTTTTACATACAGTATGTGTATTCCACAACATATTAGTAGACAAAAATGTTGAAAATTCATAGGAGAAAAATTGGATTTCACTGACAAATGTATTTTGTGGAACTGCATATCAATAACAGTCAGTGTTAAATCATATAAAAATAAAGAAATAAGAACATGTAGAAAGAGATGAGAAATTTAGAAATGCTGGGAACAAGTCACCATAATTATACCGATTGCATTTAAGTAAACATAACAAGTGATCTAAATTTAATAATACACAATTATTTTCATTTTAAACAATAATTCCAATTTCAAAATTAAAGACAGATGTCAGGTTATATGATGTTAACAAATTCTATTTTTAGTGATGTATTTCTATATATTTAGTGGAATAGAATGGGAATAGGGATGAAACAAGGTAAGAAACTGTAGTTCTTTGTGCCTTAAGATCTTTCTCTTCCTATTTTAGTAAATGAAATAAAGAAAAGAATTGTTTTCACTGCAGCCTTATACACATGATTGAACTAACTTAGACAGAATTCTAAGAATCCATTCATACAGCACATTTGTTCATATTAGTAATAGTCTAGACTATAAACTATATACACACATACAATTGAGTTGGGTTTTTACATGTTATTCATGCTGTCTAATATTTTCCATATTTTATATCTTTTTATATCTTTTTATTTTAAAAAAATAATACAGACAAAAAGTTGCTGTCAGAAGCCATCCTCTTTCCAATCCTCATCTAATATGGAAATGAAAACATGCTTTGGTGTTATTACTTCCTCAAGAATATTTTTCCATTATCATGGCTTATTTTGGATGCTTCTGAGATGATCTGATCTAGATTTGGATATGTATGACATCATTGTTTGAATCCTTCCTCCCTACCCCTATTTGATCCTGTCCATTCTGAGTTCCTACCTCATATCTACTGTATGGTTTCTACAATAGTAGAATAACAAAGTAGTCTATTATTTTAAAAGGATTTCAAGTGTGTGTGCCTGACTTCTTAATCAATTGTGAAGCTTTATTCCAAATGATTTGTGTGTCTTTTATGGCTCTGACTTGTTAGCTTTCTATAAAACCAGGGTCTTTCAACAGGGCTTAAGCTGGGCTGACAGATTAACCTGTTTTGTAGGGTTACTAGAATGATTATGGTTCAACTTCAGAATTCTATGGCTGATGGCTTCAACATTACTGAGAGATTAAGGAGGGCCAGAATAAACATATCAATTCTCTTCCATCTCCTTCTAGAGATCATCAACAAATATAATCAATGTTATCTTTGTACTATTTCTAAGTTAGAAACCTTGCTCAAAAGTCACAATAATTTACATCTTTCAGAGCCCATTGAAACTGCAATACAAATATCTTCTCAATAATGAGATAGGATAAAAATTGTCCACTACATTTTTCTTCAGAAAAAATATAGTATTGCCTTGTTAAAGCAAATCTTGGACTAGATGTCTTTAGAGTGACTTTAAAAAAGTCAAAATACTGTAATGCAATGCACATTAACAGGGCTTTTTTTCTCATAGAACGCCCAGAACGGAGTTCCGGCACCTTTTTGGGATGGAACCTTGTAGGGTAGGCAAGGCAGGTTGTATGACGTGTGTGAGTTCCGGCACCTTTTTTTTTTTTTTTTTTTTTTTTAGAAAAAAAGCACTGCACATTAAAAAGGGGTGGAGATTTTTCATTACATGATCATAGCTATCATCATGACATTTTTAAAATAACCATTTAAATTCATCAATGTCTAAAAATCATAGGCAAGCAACATGATGCTACATATTTTACATTCAGTGTTCATTAGTCTCATAAAACTTTACCTTAGACCAGTCATTGTCTCAGCCCAACTCTCTTCACAGGATTTTTGTTATGAAGAACATGAAAGAACTATGTTGGATATGTTTGCCATATTAATTTATTTGTAATAAGAATAATAAATTTGATAGATAAATAAATAAAACTCAAAGCCCATAATTTCTCTTTAAACGTGAGTGGAAAAAATAGATTTTATCACATCTATGCCTTTAGTTCTACTTAATATATCAGACCACCTTAGAGATTTTCAGAGGCCCAAACCATTTTATCTACTAATCATTAAAAACATGTTAAATGATTATAGATGAAAACAAAATAGATAGATCTCAAAAGTATGTAAACTGCACTTTCAGAAAGCACAAAATAACAACATAACCTTTAATTCTGAATTTGCAGGGAAACTTTGCCAACTTGCAGCTCCCATGATAATTAAAAGAAGAATCAGACCAGATGAATCTTTACATAATTTAGGCGGGTTGGTGGAACTGTCCTGAACATTTTCAGTTCAACCTAGAGGCAGGGGTCGGCAACCTTAAACACTCAAAGAGCCACTTGGACCCGTTTCTCACAGAAAAGAAAACACTAGGAGCCACAAAACCCTTTTGACATCTAAAATGAAGATAACCCTGCATATATCCTTATATAAAAAAACTATAGTGTGTTGCATTTATGAAATCAATGAACTGCTACAAAGAAAACAATTTTTATGCAGGAAAAAGAGGGGAGGAAAAAACCTTTCTCCTTCATCCCAACAGGTGAAAACAATTTTAGTAGCTTATCTACCATCTTTAAATATAGCATAATTATCCCCATACCTCATTTCTTAATTTAAAAAAATCAAAATATTTCATTAAACGTTCTTTACTAAAAGTCCAGTAACGGACAACATATATTCATATTCCCCCCCCCTCTCTCTTTTTCCTCTTTCCCTCTCTCTTTCCTCACCCTCCTTCCCTCTTTTTCTCTCTCCTCTCTCCCCCTCTTTCTCTTTCCTCTCTCCCTCTCTCTTTCTTTTTCCTCTCCCTCTCCCTCTCTCCTCTCTTTCCTCTCTCTCCCCCTCCCTCTCCTTCTCTCTCTTTCTGTCCTTGGTCTGCCAGTCCTCTTCCCCCCACTCAGTGTGTTTGTGCATGTGTGTGTGTGTGTGTGTGTGTGAGAGAGAGAGAGAGAGAGAGAGAGAGAGAGACAGACAGACAGACAGACAGACAGACAGAGAGAGACAGAGAGACAGAGAGACAGAGAGAGAGAGAGAGAGAGAGAGAGAGAGAGAGACAGAGGCAGATCTTGGCTTCCCCCCCCTCTCTCCTTTTTGGCAGTAGCCAAGAAAGTAAAGGATAATCTAAATTTTGCCAGCCTTCAGAATCTCAATATAACCTTGTCAATCTGTGTCAAGAGACTTTGAAGTCTACCTGCACGTGATGTAAATGTACTTGATATAGGATATGAATATTAGTATATTATATTTCCTATTATTATATTTTTAATGCCAATTTCTGCAATATCCTCATTATCAATATCCATGGGCTGCCATAGGCTGCCATGATAGAAATATTGGTTGTGAGAAGGTTGTGATATTGGTTATTTTTTCAGTAGTTAAACCCTGAATTCTCCGCTTCCATATACAGTATATGGGATTCCAAACTTAATGAATGCCATTTTAATCATAATCATGAATTTCAGCAGCATAATTACTGAATTTCAATACTACAACTTCCCACAATTTTCACTGCAATTTAAGAACTTGAACAGATTTAACACAGTTTTTTCTAAGAAAGAGAGAGAGGGGAAAAGAGAAAAATGCACACAAAAAATCTCCAAACTTTTCAAACCCTCTGATAAAAATTGAAAGAAATTAAAGTTATGTTAATTATAATTGTTTAGTAGAATAGACCCATTTAATGTTAATTGTATTATTCCTACTTCTCCTTTTTCCCAGTGTTATACTAATACCGTGATGGCAAACCTATGGCACGTGTGCCACAGGTGGCAAGTAGAGCTCTCTCTGTGGGCACGTGCACCATCACCCCAGTCCTAGGCCTTCAGCTGGGTATTATAAACCCTTTTTGCTTTAGGCCTCCACTGCCGTGTGCAAAAAAAATGGTTCAATCAATCAATCAATTTCAACTTCTCATAGGAAAAAAAAGATCTTGCAAAGTTGGAATTGATTGATTGAACTTTTTAGTCCCACCCAGTCTGCCGTTACCACCACAGCCACACCCACCCAATGGGCCACACTCACCCGGCACCCGACGATACATAATTTGTTTTTGGGTTGCAGTTTGGGCACTCGGTCTCTAAAAGGTTCGCCATCACTGTACTAATATATAAAATCAACTTGTTAATATATATCTTTTCAAAGTCATGCTGACATTTGGAAAGGATGTCTAAGTTTGGCAAATAAATTTATTGATAAATTTACTTCAAAATACAGTTTCAGCCAATGAAGATAGTACTGTATGAATCTCAGTAACAAGGATTTCAAGACCTAAAATTTCAAACTTTCTATCGGAATAATTGAAAGAAATAAATGTCTATATTCTTTCATTTGTTAGAAATCATATAAGAAACTATAAAACAATATTATCTCTTGTTTCTTTTTACAGCCATATAATTTTTTTACTATTTAGCTAAAGTTTTGGAAAATTCACCTCACACAATGCTGTAACACAAGAATAAATCATACAAATATTGATTAAATTAAATAACTAGAAATAGAAAGTTAGCTCAAACTAAGAAAGGTGTATAGGTTGCCTGCTAGGTAGATTAACATATTAATGTAGATTAATATCTATTTTATCATTTGTTTCAGAAATGTTCATTCTTCTAATTCTTTCTCTCTTTTTTCTTCATTGCAATTTGTTTCTCTCCTTATGTCTGAATTAGGTTTCATTACTATAGAAATATGAATCACCAGAAAAAAGAATAATATCCAAGGATTCATTTTGCTTGGATTTCCAATCAGCATGGAACTACAAACATTTTTATTTGTGAGTTTCCTTGTGGCCTACAATCTGACTCTTTTTGAGAATATTGTTATCATCATTGTGATCAAAATCAGTCCTCAGATTAACAAATTCATATATATATTTTTCTCAGTCCACCTGTCTTTTCAGAGGCATGGTATATCTGTGTTATTGTCCCAAAGTTATTAATCAATCTCCTTGTGCAAAACACATTCATCTCATTTGAAGAATGCATGACACAACTCTACTTTTTCAGCTCCCTTATATGTACTGAGTGTGTCCTCCTTGCAATAATGGCATTTGACCAATATGTAGCTATCTGTAATCCTCTTCGTCATCTAACCATCATGACTCAGCACCTCTGTATGATATTATCTATGGGTTCATGGCTAATTGGTTTCCTTGCCCCAATGTTAAAAGTCATCTTCCTATCACAGCTTCCCTTTTGTGGTCCTAATATCATCAACCATTTCTTCTGTGATAATTCACCATTGTTAAATATGGCATGTGAAGATATGACAGTTGCTGAAATAGTGGACTTTGTCCTGGCCTTGATCATTTTGTTGTTTCTACTCTCAGTTACTATTGTTTCGTATGTCTACATTATTTGTACTATATTGACTGTTCCCTCTATCCAGGGCCAGAAGAAAGCCTTCTCCACTTGTGCTGCTCACTTCAATGTGGTTGTCATCTTCTTCTCAGCAATTCTCTTCATATATGCTCGACCGAAGAGAATACACCCATTTGATCTTAACAATATAATTTCTGTTGTATACACCATTGTCACCCCAATGCTGAATCCATTCATTATTGTCTAAGAAATCAAGAGGTTAAGGGAGCATCAAAGTTTTTGGTAGCATGAAGATCCAGATACTGAGTGCCAGTCCTTGAAGTTGGATTCACAGTTTTTTTCTTAAAAAATACCTTTTCTGAACTTGGTTACTTGCTTGCAGATACTTCATTATCTAATTCATTCCTGAGCTACATATATTCTCTTTCATTGGAAATGCCTTTTGATTTTTCCTTTCCTTTCCTTTCCTTCTTTCCTTTCCTTTCCTTTCCTTTCTTTTCCTTTACTTCCCCCCTTCCTCTTCTCCTCTTTTCTTTTTTTTTCTGCTTGCTTTAATTTGTTAAACAACATGCTTGGGTTTATACTGAAAAGACTTAAAATAATATTTTAGTATATTCCTTTATCTTTCATAATATTGCTCCAAATGTTTTGCTTCCAAGAGGCAAAATAATTCCATCAGTACATCTTGACATTTATGGCTCATCAATTTATACTTATATGTAGAATATAAAATCCTACAATTATTTTACTAGAAATAAAACTTAACTACTGATTTTTGGAAGCGTCTAAATCATTTGCTTTACATGTTTCCTGGAAGATTAGGCTATAAAAGAGAATACCACAAACAGATATAGAAATAAAAAACTCTACTATTTCTTCCTCATTCCATGGCAAATAAGAAGATAAAATAATTTGATAATAAACCAAGAGGCATTTTAATAAATATTTATTAAAATTAAAATTTTCACAATATTTTCAGATACTGTTTTAAAACAAGTATTATTTTTTCTTTATTTATTGTAAGATGATATTCCATAGTAATAATAAAGTGATAATAAAGAATAGGTATAGACATAGACATAGCTTCAGTTTTAGACAAGTGTATTAAATAGATTCCAAATATTTTAAAAGGTAACAGATTGAGACATAAGAGCATATACTGGTTATTATTAATTCAGATTAATAAGCTTACAATTCTTCTTGCGGAAATTCCAATATTCAGAATCAAAGAACAGAGAAAAGAAAGGATCACATTTATAGGTCATTGTCAAATAGTTTGTATAAAACTCAGTCAGAATATGTTTGGGTACGTGTTAAAGAAATAGCTGCTTACAAATGTCCAGACTTCTATAGTGACTGGCAAAGTAGCAGGATAAAAAAAGATGCTGCAATTTTATAATATAAGCAGGCAGGAAGTCACATATTATATTCTGACCAAAAGAACTTCTATTCTATAAAGAAGAAGGTGGGCAGTATCATTTAGTTTTCCATTAAAAATAGGAAAGACAAGGCTGTTGTTTGGTGGGGCAATGGAAATTAGCAACTAACACTGAATTGGATAATATATTGAGGGGAAAGGATGGGTTTTTGCAATGTTACACTCTGCATCATCAAGTGAATATTGGAGGAGAGCAATCTAAATATTTAATTTTTACTCAAGATTTTATCATCAATGATGAATAAATGGGGATGAGATCATCCCTCATCTCTTACAAGATTATAAAGTGCATATTTATGAGAAGAAATGGGATGACATAATACTGTCATTTACCATTCTATAACTTGGAATAGGACATTACTACTATTACATTACTACTAATACATAAATAGGAAGGAGGAGAGTCATGCGGTTCCTCCTACCAAAATTTAACTGACAATTGTAATTTTGGTTGGCCTATTTTTTCCCTTTTTAAAAAAATAAAATAAAAAATAAAAATAAATGGGGTCTTTAAGTGAATATTTGAGACCCTCATAAACGTATTTAAAACTTCCACTTTCACTCCCCAGTGATCCAAATACCTGGAACCTCCTGGAAGTCACTTTTTAAAAATAATGCTTGATTGTCAAAAAGGCAGTGTTGTTCTTCCCTGAAATAAATGCAATGGTTCTGGTATAAATCTTTTAATGTCCTGATGTATGTCCTTTACTGATATTCAGCTTTGCCTACAATTTCTGAAAGGCAAAAGTTTGTCCTTCCCTCCCCCCTTGTTTTCCATAATTAGCTATTTTTAATAGAATTTAACTCAAAGTTAACTTAATATGAAGAATTACTGCTCTTTTGCACAAGAAATAGCCAGCAGCTGAAGAGACTTTTTTGCATCTCCCACTGAATGTTTTCCTTGTTTTCATTTATGAAAATCTTTTTGTTATAAATGGTTATTCTTTTGCTTGTTATAAATTGTTATGGCATTTTTATCTATCTATTGAGTCCTTTGCAAGGACTAGGATAGGCAGATGTTGTTGTTGATGGTATTAAAGATATCATCACAGGATGTATGCTATCCCAATAAAGCTGTTGATGGTGTTCAAGTGGTGCTCCAGATGCTTTGGGATTGCCCCAAAGATGCCTATTAATATTGCTACAACCTTTGCTTTCTTTTTGCCACAGTTGTTCTATTTCTATTTGCAGGTATGTCATATGTCAGTATATGCTTTCATTTAAAAGAAAAAAGACATTCTTTTGAGAACAATAATGTTCAAATTTGGAGCAGAGAAGATAGGAGATTTGAAAGAGGTGTGAAAGAATCCATTTATATCAAACTGGAAAATCCTTCCCTCAACAGAGGTGGAAACCTTAGACACAATCTATCCCTCATTTTTTATGCTGCTGTCTCATCAGTCCCCAGGAAGATTAAGACCACTTCACAGCTTCACCATTTAATAATACCAAAGAATTTTAAGAGTTGGAGCATTCCAACAACTCTCTGCCTATTCAGATTCCTCCTAACCAACTTGCTCAGACTGAAGAAGCTGCATGGATAAACAGCAGAATGTTTCAAACCAACAAAAAAATAAATCCACTTGCCACGATTCAATTTCTAGGTATTATTATGGTTCATTTCAAAGTCAGCCAAATATTCAGACTGGATTCGGCATTTTATTCACCTATTGATGCCTTCCAAAGACTTGTGATAGAAAGAAGTTTATGTTTGATGGTGTTAGAGGTATCATCACAGGATGTAAACTGTTCCAAGGAAAGCTGCCTTTTACAATTGACTGATGGCGATTTTGTCACAAATGCTCTAATGGGTCTGGGCCTGAATAGGTTTTCTATCCTTCTACAATACAATTCTATGATTTATCACTAATGTTTGACTTGATAATGTATTTAAGGTGGAGTTATACAGATGGGAACGTGGGAAAAAGCTTCAACATATAAACCAGTGTCAATGAAATAAACAACAATTCTGTAATATATTGTTCAGAATTCTAAATACATCCTAAAAATTACAATAAATCATTTGTAAATTTAACAATTAGTATCAAATATTTATCTTTCACTATTTTCTTCACTCATCTGTCACTTTGGCCATTTATATTGTTTGTTTAGTTTAGTTCTAATTGAATTTTATTTCATCATTAACTCATGAATATGGACAGAAAAGAACATTTTCTGGCAAAAGTGGGAATGACATTGCTCTTCAATGCTACCTTGACCAGATTTACTGCTAATGATCTTCCATTCATGAAACACAGAATACATCACTTTGAGGACCTTTTCATTTGCAGCAGAAATCCTCAGAATGAGTATCTCTGTTGCCAAAGGGCCACATGAATATCCAATCAATTCCTCAGTCTAAGGAACTTATAGAAAAAAGTACTGGGACAAGTGGACTTTCCAAATGATGTGAGGAAATGGGACCCTGTCCTTATTCTGCCATCTTGTCCACTTGAACATCTAAGGTAGAGAATTCTTAAATGTAGATTTTACTTATTTATAGGGATGTACCTTGGAACTGCCCTAGAGAAAGCTTACTAATATTGAAAATATCTTATACCTTCAATTTTCATTGTTGTTGCTCTGTACTATTTTAACAAATGCCCTTTTCACTTCTTGATTACGGAGGCTATAGATTATGGGATTTAGCATTGGTGTTGCAATGAAGTAAACAATAGATGGAACAATTTCTTGATTACCAGCATCTTTGGAGGTTGGCTTCAGGTATCTAAAAAAAATGGTTCCATAATACAGCAAAACAACAATCATGTGAGATGTGCAAGTGGAGAAAGCTTTGCTTTTCCCTTCCATGGACTGTATTCTTAAAACAGAAGAGATGATAAGAATATAGGAGGCCAGTATAATGAGTAGAGCCCCCATCCCTAAGAATGAACCAAGAGTAAAAATCACCATTTGGTTTGCAAAGGTGTTGCTACAGGAAAGTTTGAATAGTTGTGGAGCCTCACAGCTGAAGTGATGAATGACATTGGGCCCACAGAATTGTAAAGTGGTCAGTAGAAGAGTGTTCAATAGAGCATAGGCAAAGCCAGTGAACAATGCACTACATATTAGGAAAGCACACACCTGTTTTCTCATCATCACTGTATAATGCAAAGGGTGGCACACAGCTATAAACCGATCATAGGCCATCACAGAAAGGAGAAGACCCTCTCCCACTGAAAGGCACATAATAAAGAAGACTTGGGTAAAGCAATGTTGAACTGAGATAGCCTTTGTCTCAGAAAGGAAGTCTTGTAGCATTTTAGGAACGGTGACTGAGGAAAAAGCAATATCAAGAAGTGCTAAATATGAAAGAAAAACATACATGGGACTGTGAAGGTGAGGATCAATTCTTATAGCCAAAATAATCATTACATTGCCAATAAGGGTGCTCAAATAAATGAAGAAAAAAATGACAAAGAGTAACTTCTGAAGCCAGGGATTGCCAATGAATCCTAAAAGGATGAATTCGGTAACTTGAGTTTGATTATCCATATATGGAAAAGTGTATCTTCCTGTAGAAAATAAAGTACAATGAAAAATAATTTCATTTTATAAAATTTCTTCTAAATCTCTTTCCCATTCCCAACCCAGATGAGAGCTGGAGACCTCATGTATCTACTAAGTTATATGTCAACATCCAAATAATGTTCAACATACAAAAATGATACATTGAAGTGTCAATTATAATTCCAATATATAGGAGTTAAAATGAAACTATTGTTTCATTTGGTTGGCAGAAACTATGTTGGATGGATGGATGGATGGATGGATGGAGTATAAATTGATGATTCTAAATGAAAAATGACATTTAGGTTCATAGTGAATAGCTTAGTTATAATGAAGATTCTAATTCCATGCTAGTAGATATTAGCAGGCAAATAAAAATAAAAATGCCAGTTTTGTAATGTTGTGTGATATTGTAATGCCATTCTGCAGTATGATAAAACATTCACTAATGTATGATTTATCTGATGCTATCTATATCTTTTCAAAGTTCAGAAAATTTTAAAAAATGCATTTTTTACAACATGGAATTTGTTTGTCTATAATGCAATTTGGTGTAGTGGTTAAGTCATCAGACTAGAAACCAGGAGACTGTGAGTTCTAGTTCTGCTTTAGGCACAAAGCCAGGTTAATGACCTTGAGCCAGTCATTATCTCTCAATCCTAGGAATCAGACGAGGGCAAACTATTTCTGAAATCTTACCAAGAAAATTGCAGGCACTAGTCAAAACTGATTTTAAGGTATACAAATACTGCACACACAGAGAGGCATGGAGGAGAGTTGTAACAGCAAACACATAAAAGTTATCAATTTCTCTCCAACTGAAACATTCAAGTCATAGTATCTGAAATAAAATGCCACACGTCCCATCAGTCAATACAAGTAAACAAGCAATCTTGTCATTCATCAAACAATTTCCCCCTGAATAGACATTTACCTTTGGAAGATGCTTTATGAGACTTGCTCTTTTGTGGTAACCTCATGTCCTCATTGTCAAAGAGCCCCAACATCACTATATTTTCTTCTAAAACAAATTAGCAATGACCAATAAAAAGGCCTGTTTTGTTTCCTTCAGATTTAATCAACTGCTAGTAAAGAAATAATCTTACTGAGTTACTAATCAATGGAGAAGTTATCCCTTACATCTGTACTAGAAAACATATAAAGTTTAGATGTATTTTATGTGTTTTGCTAGATAGAGTTCACAGAGAAGAGAGTCCCATATTCTTTCTTGAAAAGCATGCATGCCAGAATTATATGCAATTGCTACCATTTATTAATTTTTTTTATAATTGTACCTAATTCACAAGGGAAGACATGGAAAAAGAAATCAAGTATTCCCAAGACATCATTGTTTAAATATCTATTTCTGATAGAAATAGAGATACACATATTCAATTCATAAGACCTTTTTGCAGTTGGAAAAAGTATGTGATATATTTCACATATTGTTCCATATTGCTTTGTTATGTTTTCTTTTTCAGTCAAGGCCTCTATGGGGGGACTGCAAACATTTATTTTTCCTTGTTGTTGAAATGTCCCAGGCATTGTAGAAATGCCTTAAAAACCTAGCTTTTTCCTCATGTTAGAGTAGGCTACTTTGTGTGCCTTGCTCTAATTCAGTTGAGAAGTTCCTTGTTTTTATCAGGAATCATTTGTTGTTGTTCTTACTGTTTTTAATTGTGATGCGTGTGCATGTTTTCTTAGCTACCCAGAGTTATTTGATTATATGGAGGCAGTGGTGGGATTCAAATACCTGAACAACCAGTTTTCTGCAAGGATGCAGGCCTGGGACTCGAATGGACCTCCGGAAGTGACATCCATGCACTTCCTGTGGCCTCCTCTAACAGCCCACAGGAAGTAAGGTGGGTTCAGCCAGTTCTCCGAATTCAACAAAATTTAGCAACCAGTTTTACCGAACTGGTGCAAACCGGCTGAATCCCACCACTGTATGGAGGGTGTATAAATTTTAGAATAAATCAGTAAACAAACAAACTACTATCGGTGGTAAGTATTTTGCTTTTATTTGCTTGCTTTGATGTTTTCATACAGCAATACAAAAAGAGTTTTTGGAAGCGTCTAAATCATTTGCTTTACATGTTCCCTTGAAGATTAGGCTACAAAAGAGTATACCAACAAACAGATACAGAAATAAAAAACTCAACTATTTCTTCCCCATTCCATGGCAAATAAGAAGATAAAATAATTTGATAATAAACCAAGAGGCATTTTAATATATATTTATTAAAATTAAAATTTTCACAATATTTTCAGATACTGTTTTAAAACAAGTATTATTTTTTCCTTATTTATTGTAAGATGATATTCCATAGTAATAATAAAGTGATAATAAAGAATAGGTATAGACATAGACATAGACATAGCTTCAGTTTTAGAAAAGTGTATTAAATAGATTCCAAATATCTTAAAAGGTAACAGATTGAGACATAAGGGCATATACAAGACCACATAACCTGCAAAAATAATGCTGAATTTACTGGTTATTATTAATTCAGATTAATAAGCTTACAATTCTTCTTGGAAATTCCAATATTCAGGATCAAAGAACAGAAAAGAAAGGATCACATTTATAGGTCATTGTCAAATAGTTTGTATAAAACTCAGTCAGAATATGTTTGGGTATGTATTAAAGAAATAGCTGCTTACAAATGTCCAGACTTTTATAGTGACTGGCAAAGTAGCAGGATAAAAAAGATGCTGCAATTTTACAATATAAGCAGGCAGGAAGTCACATATTATATTCTGACCAAAAGAACTTCTATTCTATAAGGAAGAAGGTGGGCAGTATCATTTAGTTTTCCATTAAAAATAGGAAAGACAAGGCTGTTGTTTGGTGGGACAATGGAAATTAGCAACTAACACTGAATTGGATAATATATTGAGGGGAAAGGATGGGTTTTTGCAATGTTACACTCTGCATCATCAAGTGAATATTGGAGGAGGGCAATCTAAATATTTATTTTTTACTCAAGATTTTATCATCAATGATGAATAAATGGGGATGAGATCATCCCTCATCTCTTACAAGATTATAAAGCTATGATGTTTTCATACAGCGACACAAAAAGAGTTTTTCTTGGTACCCACCACTAGAGTATCCACATGTCACCAGAACACTTGAGATTCCCCATTGCAATGATGGGATCTATTTTGTAGCACTAAAATCAAAGTGATTATCTAGCCATCAGTGAAACTGTTAACTTTAATGAATGCCGGCTAAGCAAGTGAGTGAAACTAGGCAGCCTCTGAAGGAGATCAAATGACAGTTCAGGGTCTAATATCAGCAGTATGATGATGATACTCCAGGAGATGCTATTGACATCTTGGCCCAGAGTTTGGATGGAAGAGAGTAGGCCCAAGATACTATTGATATCTTGTTAGGGTCTGGATGGAACAGTGCAGGCTTAAATTGAACCATAATAAGACTAAACTGCTGTCTATATATCAGGGTTCCTCTATTACTCTGTATTGTCTTTTGATAGGGTTGAATTACCCGGAAGGCCTGCAAATTGGATGTTCTCTTGAATTCATCACTCCTACTGGATCAGCATGTGGAGGCCATTATCAGGAAGCCAAGGGGGCAGGAGCAGCAGTTGATAAAAAAATATTTCCACTCTCATCCAATGACTGGACTCAAAAAGGGTAAAGTCCCTACAGCATTCCAAGATGATAAAAATAATGATATTTTGCTATGAATATTAAGATGCCAGTCAGAAATAAAATCAAACAAACCTAAGGAGGTCATAGGACAGGGAAGTTGGCTAAGAAGTAGCTAGAATCCAAATAAGAAAATTCTCCATAATCCACAGCTAAAGAAGTAGCCTGAATTTGACTCCAATATAAGTTTCACAGTTTATACAGTTGAAATATTTATTTAAAATCTTCCAATGTTCCTGGAATTTTAGTCAGTTTAGTTTAGTTTAACAGGTGGAACCCTTGAAGGAAAATCAACAGTTAAATTCTATAAGGTGTTGAAATGTGAAATGAAAATCATATTGGTTCTCACAACTGAATTATGGAAAAGAGAACTGGAATTTCAAATTTTGGAAACTCAGTGAGTCCAGGTATTAAAACATGTGAAATATATTTCCTGTTATTTAATTTAAAAATGAATTAATATATGAGAAAATATCATTTTATGCCCATGAACTCTTCAGGAAATGTTGAACAAAGGTTGTACATTAGATTTATTTTGTCAGCCAAGTAAGAAATGTTAAGGTTCTTTAATTTTTATGATTTTTGTCTTGTCCTGTTATACCTTTGTTCAAATTATTACATATGCTAATATAATTCTAGAAAAAAAATATTACAGTTAATGTTTAAAATGTGCTTCTGCAATTATATTCCAAAACATGGAACAGTATAGCACTCAGGAAAAATTCTGAAATTGGGTGTGGATAAAAGAGAACAATTTTATGTAACTGCAAAGAAAGTTATTCTCACATAACTGTTTTGAATAAAGCCAATTAGGATTACTTTAGTTTTTATCTAGGTTTCTAGGTTTATCTAGGTTTCATAAAAGTTTACCTTTCAGATATACAGTAATTAAGTTTCAGATATAAATGTGTTATATATTTGTGCATGAAAAGAATCAGAGTATTCCAACACGTTTAGTACAGACATTACTAATCAATCTTCCTATTTTTATTAGGAACGTTCATGTCCTTTCATTAAAACTATATTAAATACTGCCATTAAAATTACATGTAAAGAATAATAAGACTCTGAATTATCAGCATCACAATTCAATCTTTCTTTCAAAATCCAAAAAGGTAGGATATTATTTTATGATTAGTATGAACATCAGTTTCACTACACTAATTAATCTGATAACATATTTAAGTATGTCCACTAGATGGCAGCAAATTATAAAAAATGCCAGTAGGAGCATTGTTATACAGTCAAATGCTACAGGCTAGAGATAGATAGAATACAGAATAACACAGTAGGAAGAGATCTTGAAGGTC